GAGGATTAGCATGGATGTTAGCTAAGGGCTGACCTTCCTCACACACAAAATAATAATAATAATAATAATAATAATAATAATAATAATAATAATAATTTGGCTGATCAGGCAGCAAAACAGGCAGGCAGAACCAAAACCCCAAATCCTAAGGCCCTAGCACTCATCCCGAGTATGGATTTGTCCCTGTTTAAGCCTCAGTATTCAGAAACGGATTTAAACAGAGCAGACAAATGGGGACTTCATACAGTCTCTCGAAGAGCAGGTGGTAATCAGTACCAAACAACTAAAGAAGGCTGGCTTTATAATGAACAGGGACTAGTGCCTATATCCAAGCACTTAATAGAAAAAATCATTACTCACCTGCATCAGGGAACCCATTATGGGAGAGATGCAACCTATCATTGGCTACAAAAGTTTATTGTTGGTCCACAAATGCAAAGGACTATCCAGAAGGTAGTACCAAATTGCTTGATTTGTGCCAGAAACAATCCCAAAACTGGGCCACCACCAACAATCGAAGGGGTGCAAACCCGAGGGACAGAACCAGGAAATGATTAGCAAACAGACTTTACTGTTATGCCCAGAGCCATGAGAAATTATAGATATTTGCTGGTATTTGTGGACACCTTCACAGGATGGGTCGAAGCCTTTCTGTGCAGGACAGAAAAGGCTTCCGAAATAACACAAGCCTCACTAAAGGAAATTATCCCTCGTTTGGGGCTGCCTCTGTCAATTCAAAGCAACAATAGAGGAGCTTTCATAGCCAAAGTAACATTAAGAAGTGTCTGGAGCCCTCGGGATACAATGGAAGTTACATGCTTCATGCAGACCTCAGTCCATAGCAAAGACTGAAAAGGTGAACCATACCTTAAAGAAAACAATTGCTAAAATATGCCAGGAAACCAGCCTAACATCTTGCCAGTTGCCTGGTTTAGAGTAAGAGTAGCCCCTAGAAGTAGGCTTCAATTAAGCCCTTATGAAGTGTTATATGGGAGACCCTTCCTTAAGACTAAGTATTATTGCAATCTTGAAAATGGTCATGTTGTAAAAGAATTGGATGCTATAAAACGTGTACAGTCTCTAGGTGCTACTTTATCTGCTATACATAAACATGCTTCTAGCCGATTAATGTTTCCTACCGACGTTCCCCTGCATTGCATAAGCCCGGGGGATTGGGCTCTCCTCAAGACTTGGAAAAGTCAACACCCTGAGGACCAACTGCAGCCTAAGTGGGATAGACCCTATGAAGTCCTTCTGGTTACACATTCTTCAGTAAAATTAAAGGGAGTTAAGCCTTGGGTACACTAGTCATGAGTAAAAATAGCACCCACTCCCAGCCAGGACCTCCCTCGTCCCCTTTATAATTCTCAAACAGGTAGCACCCTTCGTGGACAGCAGGAGACGGAAGGACCGAATCATGTAAACATTGGGTGGGCACCGAGGCCTACAGCTAGCAGTTCTACCCAAGAGTATTCCTGTGAATCTCTAACTAATCTTGTTACTTTTCAGAAAAAGTAACAAAAACTGAGGAAGCTCTTGGGTCTCCAGGTCCAGGCTGAGTGGGTTTCAACTCCCTTTCTGACACCTGACTTCAACTGACCAATACAAATATCTCCAAACCAGAATGAGAAGACGACATCTATTGTAGACAGCTGTCCCAAGACTCTGGACCAGGCCTGTATTCTTAACCTTATATCTCTTCATTTACAGCCTTGTGACATTTAGACTCTATATAATTGCTAAACAATTAATTTCTCGATTGCCATACTTTTTACCTACCCCAATAACTTACCCCTCCAATTCTATAAGATAGATTAGAACCTGATTACAAAACCCTTTTTGATTAATCACAAAAATGCCATTTAAGATTTTCCTGGGCCAGCCCCATGGCTTAATGGTTAAGTGAGCGCACTCCGCTGCTGGCGGCCCAGGTTCGGATCCCGGGCGCGCACCGACACACCGCTTCTCCGGCCATGCTGAGGCCGCGTCCCACATACAGCAACTAGAAGGATGTGCAACTATGACATACAACTATCTACCGGGGCTTTGGGGGAAAAATAAATAAATAAATAAAATTATAAGATTTTCCTGATACTATGTTTTTCCAATCCACATCTGAATGGGCCTCTAACAGCAATGTTTTTTTACAATGGGCTCACTGCTTTGCCACACACAAAAATCAGTCCAATTGTTGGATATGTGGCCAACTTCCCCTTTCTAGTACATCTGGGGTTACAGTGGTGGATTTCTCCCTTACATGGTACAGACTGGAAAGCTTTAAAGCAATTTATTATGATAGAAAGATCTAATATTCATAGTACGTCCAATATTACTAATTACGATCCTGATACATGGCCACTAGCCCACACTGTTAATGATACAGGGCATGGCTACTCTTTCTCTCTTACTCGGACTATACAATTATCCCAACAACTTGCAAAGAGACAAAAGAAGATAGATAATACTGTGAGAACTATGGGAGGTTTTACACAAATGTGGAATGGATATGTTTGGCTTACTCCTAGTTATGGATCTTTAAATGCACTGGGACCCTTATGTGGGGAACAAAGAAATCATTTCAAACAAAATTTTCCAAACTGCACTCAAAATATGGGATGGATATCCCCCAAGTCATGTCAAAATACTCTCATACCTAAAGAAAGTGATTGGTTTGGAACAGACTGGTCTCAGTGGCCAGGCATTTACTGGGTGACTCCTAATAGAACTCAATTGTTATTGAAACAAACCTCTGGCCTTGGCTACCACCTGGATGGCTAGGACACTGCACCCTGGGTTTCCCTTGGATGCAGGGAAGGTTTCACCCTGAGCTAACATCTGTTGCTAATCTTCCTTTCCTTAAGGCCAGATGGGTTTGTTCAGTGTTCCACTGGTATAATCACCTAGCGGCTGTATTTGCTCTTCCCTTGGGGCTAGAAGATGTCATAACACATGTAAAAGCTCTGAGTAAATTTACTCAACAAGCCCTAAACGATAGTCAAGCAGGAATAGCCTCGTTAAATACTGAAGTGTCTTTAATGAGGAAGGCTGTCCTTCAAAACAGAATGGCCTTAGATATTCTAACAGTACATGTGCAATTATTCAGACTGAATGCTGTGTCTACATACCTGACGAATCTTCCAATGTGTCATCCCTGTTAAAGCACATGAGAAAGTAAGTGAATGCCTTGAGCGATCCCACACCCAGTCTTGATTTATTTGGTTGGCTTTCCTCAGGTATCGGTTCCTTTTTGAGATCTAGATTACAATTTCTATTTCTATCACTTCTTGGAATTCTTGTATTAGTCATAATATTCAAACTAATTACTGTTTTCTTTACTCAGTGTTGTAAGACTAGTATGCAAGCTAAAGTAATGATGGCTCAACAACTCGAGATGGTCGATCAATTTTATGACTGGACGAATTTCTCCTGATAAAGACTATTTCTGATAAAGCTTAAGAACTTATTTTAAAACTAGTCTTTTCTATAATTATAGGCAATGTAATCATAAAGAGTCGCAAAAAGCACATGTACAATGCTTGCACAATAATCTAAAATTAATTTTTAGGGGCCAGCCCCATGGCTTAGCAGTTAAGTGCGCGCACTCCGCTACTGGCAGCCCAGGTTCGGATCCTGGGCACGCGCTGACGCACCACTTCTCTGGCCATACTGAGGCCGCATCACACATACAGCAACTAGAAGGATGTGCAACTATGACTACAACTATCTACTGGGGCTTTGGGGGAAAAAAAAAAAAAGAGGAGGATTGGCAATAGATGTTAGCTCAGAGCCAGTCTTCCTCAGCAAAAAGAGGAGGATTAGCATGGATGTTAGCTCAGGGCTGATCTTCCTCACAAAAAAAAAGTAATAATAAATAAAAAATAAAAAAATAAAAATAAATAAAATTAATTTTTAAAACATATGACAAGCTTCCTCTGTTAATATGTATATATACCTATGCTCGTCCACTATTTCCCCCCAATGTAGATAACTAGGCAAACCAATGGATAAAGGCCTAGCACCAAGGGACTTGAGGGACCACATGCCCCTGTCTCCCTGAAGATCGATCTTGCAGAATAAAAGCTGATTTCTCCCCTCAAAGGCTGGTGCCATAATTAATTGGCTTGTTTATGCACATCGGGCAGAACCCCGATTTTCATAAACAAAATCTCATGCTAGGGCTGGCCCCATGGCTTAGCGGTTAAGTGCGTGCGCTCTGCTACTGGCGGCCCGGGTTCGGATCCCAGGCGCGCACCGACGCACCGCTTCTCCGGCCATGCTGAGGCTGTGTCCCACATACAGCAACTAGAAGGATGCGCAACTATGACATACAACTATCTACTGGGGCTTTGGGGGAAAAAAAAAAAGGAAGATTGGCAATAGATGTTAGCTCAGAGCTGGTCTTCCTCAGCAAAAAAAGAGGAGGATTAGCATGGATGTTAGCTCAGGGCTGATCTTCCTCACACACACACACAAAAAAATCTCATGCTATTAGGCTACAACACGGTAGGGAGGGAGGATCCACTGGATTGGAAGTTTGGAAATAAGAATTGTAGTGTAGAGTCTGTCACTGATTTGCTGTGTGACTTGGGCAAGCTCATTTTACCTAAGACTTAACTATAAAATGAGGTTTCTGAAACCAAAATCACTAAGGATTCTTCCCACCCATGGGGTTCATATATTATACTTTGGTTTTTGGCAATCTCCCTCACTAAATGCACTTAATACAAATTATATCAGTTAATTATCTCAATAGTTTTGTGAATGAATGTCAACCCAGATATTATGTTCTCTAGGAAGTCTTCTTGGACTGTCTAATGGGTGCCCAGTTTGGATTAGATGTGGTCTCTGTGCCTCTATAACAAGCATGGTGGAGTGTCTATTATTCAATGTTAAATAATATTTATCTGTTTACTTAATATTTCTTCTTCTCCACAAAACTGTAAGTTCCCTGAGGGATTTATAAAATATATAAGTTCCAACACTTAAACAGTCCCTAGCATACGTATTTAATGAAATGAATGAATGGAGTTCCAGTACTAGAAACATTTGTAGTAAAACCACTGGACTTTTTCAAAACGCAACTGTTACAAGTGGATAACTAAGTAATCTGAATCTTGCATTAGTATTAAATTTTAAAGCAAATGTCTAGAATCAAAGTAGACAAGACACATTACATAAAATTTTACATTTATTTAGGCAAAAAAAAAAAAATCCCCCAAACAAAAATCTGTACATACAACATTAACACCTAAGTGATGTCCTGATTTAAAATATAGCATGATTCATGTACAGAACACTCCCATTCATCTGGCCACAGTGAGGACAGCGCCTTCAGTCCAGATAATTGAGAGAGAGCCTTTGAAACGTATACACATTACACTTTCCAATGAACTTTTCATATCTTTTGAAAGGAGTTAAACTCTTCCATCAGAATTCAAGCAAAAGACAGCTTTTCACACTCACAAGTCAGTGAGAATTTGACAGTGGGAATTCTACAAAAGTCAGGGATTTTTATTTTATTTTATTCTTGCAGATTATCTGAGAGCATAAATCTTGATATAACATCTTTCCATTTTTAAAGGGAAAAAATGCTTTTAAGAATTTCCTGCTTTTATGAAAGTGTGTCTCAGCTTTCATTAGCTGAGTCGCTTCTTGCTTCTAAGCTGATTAAAATAAGCTTAAAAGAACCCAATTCGAACAGTTTTCCCAAAAGTAAGTCCCAAATTAAGCACATACTATTAAAGAACTAGATTTATGATTTCCCATACAATAATTTTGATAAATTTGGGATTCTCTAAATATTCTTAATAACCAGTCTGTCTAGCTATAAAGTTAGGTTGTGCTGTTCAAAAGAGCTTTGCTTCATCCAGAGAAATGAGAAACAGCATTATTTTCCCATAATTTACCCCAAAAAACTGGGGAGGGGAGAAACAGGCAGAGAAAGCTCTTTCTTAGGCTACCAACCAGTTGACAAAGAGTGTCTTAGGTTAAGATTTGGAAATCAAAGAATGCATAATTAGGAGTGTACCGTGTCATGCAAAGTCTATGAAATGCTAAAAAAGATAAAGCATTTACTCATTTAAAGCACATTCAGCAAATTTTTCTATCATATTGCTATTCTCATCACTGGATGAAGGCTGGATTTGCATTATTCCTAAAATGAACAGTTCATGAGTTAACACTAAAAGTTAAAAATGTGTCAATACAAAGCAAATGGTAAAGATTAAACATCCAATATCCACACAATCATCTGAAACTGCTACAATGGATTTGAGAGGGAAACCTTAAGTTTGCAAACCTCTCTGTAAGCTGTCTTAAAACACTACTCTGAGGCCCTAGCCATATAATGTCCCCAAATAAGTCACATACAGATAAAACTGCCCACATCAGCTGACAGTATGATACTGCCTTTAACTTACACCTTTAGTTTAATAATACTGTTTGTCCCAAGATAAAAGTTGCACAATAATCAAATAATGTAAACATACCATTAGAGGGAGGAAAAGAGTGGGTTTCAACGTACACAAAACAGTAAGCTTCTTATCCCTGCTACTCATGACCTCTTTTCAACCTTGCATACTGCTGCACATTGTTCTATGGTGGGTGGGTGGGTGGCAGGCCCTCATGCATGTTAAAACACTAAGCCAAAAGCATGGTTCATTAATCTAATCTACCCTAATTTAGCACATAAAATATGTTTTCATTAAAATGTGCTCCAAAGGGCTAGAAGATGGCCCAATGCTATCTTGACACATGGCATAATTAAAAACACAGTCATCAAAGTGACTGGGAAGAAAAAGGGCCAACTCAAAAGGTCCCATTAGTAACAGCAACTTCCTAGGCTGGATATGTAGGACTAATATTTTCAAACATGAATATTTGATTCCTTGGAAGTTTGCACACAAAAGACATCATGAAATTAAGTTCCCATAGCAATCTTATGGTTCACCTCCACCTTGGGTAATTCACTTAAGTTGACTAGTGCCACTAAATGGCATTACTGTCCAGGGGTGAGGAGCAGCAATATTTATGGTCAATTTCTGGAACTGTGGGTCTGATATGATTTTAAAATCCTCAACTAAGATCAGCAGCCACTGAGTCCTTGGCCAGACAATAAACTAACCCCTTATTATGACTTGTTTCATATTTCTTTTCAACTGCAAAAAGAAAAAATGATTTTTTAGAGTATAAAGACCAGAGCAAAACTTACTTGATGGAAAGAATGAGATGCCTTAATTATTTCTGCTTTAATTTCACACTGTTCTTGTTTTATTCAATGATACCAAGACGCATCATTATACTCTAAAATGTCTATTTCCTTTAGTAGATCGAAAGGATCTTGCTGTTGCTTGTGGACTGATGTAGTGATATTTTACAATATCTGAGTGCACCAATGATTTGAGCAATGAGTGGTTCAACCTTTGTCTAAATTGTGCTTGAAACAGCACCTCTAAGCCACTGAAGAGGTAACCCTTGAAGGCACCAAGTACTGTTACATTCTAGTATACAAATGCAAAAGGGAGGCCTAATAGATTCTAACTGTAGAGAAGAGCCAGTTATGCCTCATAATTTCAATATATACATCTACTATATTTTAGCAAGATTCAAGACTTTACAGACAATTCTGTGCCTTAAACAGATACACAATTTTAAGAACCATCCCAACCACAAAGGCACTACAATTTTTATATATTTGGGATGTGATCAATTATTTTGCTTTTAAGACTCAGATGTATCTGGCCATTATCAGTGCTCAAAGTAGTCAATTTAAATTAACTTCAAATACTTTTGAGTCTTCATCTATCAACAAGTTATTCTGAGTAATGAAAAGATTTATCGCTTTCTGTACATTTTTAGCCATTTCTGAAAATAATTTATAAAGACAAAAACCTAGGATTAACCTACAAGGAACATGCACTTTTGTCTTGAACAGGATACAAGAGAAACTTGAAGCCAAACTTCTCAAATAGGCTTTCCCTTAACCAGGCAGGCTAGAAGACTTGGAAATGGTTAACATAGCTAGCAACATCCAAGCTATTGTAGGTATCCTATTTTCTATATTTTGCCTTAGACATTAAAATTCAGACAAAAGGGGAAAAGCTTACAAGAATTTTCCATTTCCTCTGAAATAAGACAATCTGTGAAAATTTATCTTGCACCTATAAAAATTCCTTACACCAATTAAGTCAGAATTAACCCACAATTTAAAATGGTTTTTAATGGTTCTAAATACCTATTTTCTTTTGGTTTAAGTTTTCACCCCTTTGAAGGAGTACCAAATAGTTCAAGTATGATTATTGTGATAGTGGTAAGAAATGGTAAGAAATGTGTATGTCAAAAATCTTATCAGCATACTATTAAGCCAGCTCCTTTCTAAACAAAAATGCTTCTGAATAATCACCATAATTTAAATACACCATTTAAAATCTCTACTGAAAACACTTTGGCCATCTATGAAAAAAATGCAGTCATTTGAGATTGCAATTAACCTTATTCATAAACTAAAATTTAAAATGGGAGCCAGCCCCGGTGGTCTAGTGGTTAAGATTCAACACTCTCACCACCGTGGCCCAGGTGCATTTCCTGGTCATGGAACCACATCACCCATCTGTCAGTTGTCATATTGTGGCAGTGGCTCACATAGAAAATTAAACTAACAACTAGGATACACAACCATGCACTGAAGCTTTAAAAAAAAAATTTTTAATGGAAATTAAGTTATTTGGTGACTTGCTGCCTCCCAGCTGCCATTAATATAATAACTGATTCTTTACTATACTGTCACAGGTATCTTAAAGGAAAGACAATTGTCTAAAAAATAACCCATCAAGAAATATTTCCTTTTATGCACTGCAACTAGAATCATTACATTTAACAATAGTCTAATTCTTCTCATTCATTTTTGGCATGAGATGTGGACATCTTTCTCCAACATGAAAACGTTGAGATACATGTATTTTGAAACAAAAGGAAATAACTTCTCATGGCAAAATTTACTGTTGTTAATTGTATTTTAACTGAGTAGGTAACATCTTGTGTAGTCTATTCCACTAAACAAAATGACTGAAATAGAGGGAAAAGAATGGTCAGTTCTAACAAGAGACAATTTTTTTTAAATTCACATTTTCACAACAATATGACATATAGAGATTCAGAGAGTTAATCTTTAACACAGAATGCTGTGATATTTTACACTGTGATGCTTGAGGAAACATTTCTAGAGAGTAACCAGCTGTCTGTGTAGGAAGCAGCAGCCCATGCTTCCAGGAATAAAAAATGAAGAACAAACTACTGGTCACTGTCTCAGGAGAGGTGGGCTACAGAAGGATAGCCTGTCCCAGTTTAAAAACTATACATACCATAAGAGCAGACCATTTCCCAGTTCCTAAAATCTATTCTTCCTTAAGTTTTCCTTTTTAATATACTTTTCTGTCAGCCATCCGGGCTCCAACCAGTGAGTAGCTTTCCCATGGAGAGGACTCAGATTTCCATTCTTTCACACTAAGAAGGACATCTTATAAAAGGTACACAGACAGAGAATAAAGGCATTTTATACAGAAGCAGTATAAAATTTACAACTGAAGCAGTGCCAGAAATCAGGCTAACAGCTTATCTGAAGCTGCAAATTGACTGGAAGGGACTTTTAGATCAAAAAAGTTTGGCCTAAGGGTTCGTGCAAACTTTATCATAAAACTGTAGAATTTCAAGCACAGGTAAGTTCAAACACTGAAAGATGTGGAAAATTTCCTAAAAGGCAATGACGAAGGAAGAGACCCTTCTTGCCTTGTAAGTTAAAAATCACAAGACAAATTAGAGACTGTTCACATGGGCAGTACCGTACATTGTCAATCCCAAACTGAGCTTATGACTCTTGTCATAGAAACCCCCAAAACATCACAGAGGGTAAGATATTCCAAATGAACCTATCACAAAAAGGATTCCTGTGATTCAATTATCCAATTACCTATGGCTATCAATTTAGTCTGGCCTGGGGCTGCTTTTTACAGGGAGGTGGTCTCCCATGACGTACAATGTGTTTTTCTAAGCTGTCCAGAATGGCCACAGCAATCTGTTGGACATGGGGATCAGTCTGTTCATGTTCTTTGATGTTGTATAAATGCTGCAATCCTCCTTCTTCAATCAGCATGCTGCAATACCTTGAGGCTGAAAGAAAACAGGAGAAAGAGCTTTTCTTAAAACACTTAAAAATTATCCCACAAAAAAATCAGTTATTTTTTGCTTAAATTTTAACTTTCTCATTGAGCACTAACATATACTACAGCTTGATAAATACCTCTGTGATGATATGTCTATGCTGCAAGGCCCCACACATAAATAATACACGTCATATATATATATATATTTTTAATCATAACCTTAAGACATAGACAATCTGGAAAGAAAATTTGTTTGACCCAAAATCATAGGTAAGATAGAGACTACACTTTTATGCATTTCCTATGTTTTTAAAAAATTTAATGGCACTCATATTGCACATGCAAATTTCTTTTTTCTTTTATTATTTTATTTTTTTATTTTTTCCCCAAAGCCCCAGTAGATAGCTGTATGTCACAGCTGCACATCCCCCTAGTTGCTGTACGTGGGATGCGGCCTCAGCATGGCCAGAGAGGCAGTGCGTTGGTGCGCGCCCGGGATCCGAACCCGGGCCGCCAGCAGCGGAGCGCGAGCACTTAACCACTAAGCCACGGGGCCGGCCCAACAATTTTCTTTATTTTTAAATATTTTCTTTGCCTTTTGTTTTAAAAAATATTTCTTTTTTGTACACACCACTTTTAAAGTTTTTTAGTTTTAGTCATATTTTTAAAAATATAATTTACACACAATTAAATACACCCAATGTAATCTATAGTTTGATGAGTTTTGCCAAATGTACACAGGTATACCTCATTTTATTGCACTTCACAGATATTGCATTTTTTACAAATTGAAGGTTTGTGGCAACCCTGCGTTGAGCAAGCCTATTGGTGCCATTTTTCCACAGCATTTGCTTACTTTGTGTCTCTGTGTCACACTTTGGTAACTCTCGCAATATTTCAAACTTTTTCATTATTATTATATGTGTTATGGTGATCTGTGATCAGTGATCCTTGACGGTACTATTATAATTCTTTTGGGGCACCACAAACTGCACCCATATAACACGATGAACTTAATCGATAAATGTTGTGTGTGTTCTGACTGCTCCACTGACTGGCCGTTCCCCTCTCTCTCTCCTGCTCCTTGGCCTCCCTATTCCGAGACACAATAATATTGAAATTAGGCCAACTAATAACTCTACAATGGCGTCTAAGTGTTCAAGTGAAAGGAAGAGTTGCCCATCTCACTTTAAATCAAAAGCTAGAAATGATTAAGCTTAGTAAGGAAGGCGTGTTGAAAGCCAAGATATGCTGCAAGTTAGGCTTCTTGCACCAAACAGCCAAGTTGTGAATGTAAAGGAAAAATTCTTGAAAGAAACTAAAAGTGAACACACGAATGTTCAAAAAGTGAAACAGCCTTATTGCTGATATGGAGAAACTTGTAGTGGTCTGGATAGAAGGCCAAATCAGCCACAACATTCCGTTAAGCCAAAGCCTAATCCAGAGCCAGGCCCTAACTCTTCAATTCTATGAAGGCTGAGAGAGGTGAGGAAGCTACAGAAGGAAAGTTTGAAACTAGCAGAAGTTAGTTCATAAGGTTTAGGGAAAGAAGCTGTCTCCATAACATAAAAGTGCAGGGTGAAGCAGCAGGTGCTGATGTAGAAGCTGCAGCATGTCACCCAGAAGATCTAGCTAAGATAATCAATGAAGGTGGCTACACTAAACAACAGATTTTCAATGCAGACACAACAGCCTTATATTGGAAGAAGATGCCATCTAGGACTCTCGTAGCTAGAGAGGAGAAGTCACTGCCTGGCTTCAAAGCATCAAAGGACAGGCTGACTCTCGTTAGGGGCCAATGCAGCTGGTGACTTTAAGTTGAAGCCAATGCTCATGGACCATTCCGAAAATCCTAGGGCCTTTAAGAATTATGCTAAATAGGGGCAGGCCCAGCGGCGTAGCGGTTAAGTTCACGCCCTCTGCTTCAGTGTCCCGGGGTTCATCACGGGTTCAGATCTTGGGCATGGACCAACACACCGCTTATCAAGCCATGCTGTGGTGGTGTCCCATATAAAGTAGAGGAAGACAGGCACAGAAGTTAGCCCAGGGCCAATCTTCCTCAGCAAAAAGAGGCAGATTGGCAACAGATGTTAGCTCAAGGCTAATCTTCCTCACACACACACAAAAAATTATGCTAAATAATTCTGCCTGTGCTCTATAAATGGAACAACAAAGCCTGGATGACAGCACATCTGTTTACAACATGGTTTGCTGAATATTTTACGCCCACTGTTAAGATCCACTGCTCAGAAAAAACGATTCCTTTCAAAATATTACTGCTCATTGACAATGCACCTGGTCACCCAAGAGCTCTGACAAAGATGTACAATGAGATTAATGTTGTTTTCATGCCTGCTAACACAACATCCATTCTGCAGCCCAAGGATCAAGGAGTAATTTCGACTTTCAAGTCTTATTATTTAAGAAATACATTTTGTAAGGCTATATATAACTGCGATAGACAGTGATTTCTCTGATGAATCTGGGCAAAGTAAATTGAAAACCTTCTGGAAAGGATTCACCATTTTGGATGCCATTAAGAACATTCACGATTCATGGGAAGAGGTCAAAATATCAACATTAACAGGAGTTTGGAAGAAGTTGATTCCAACCCTCATGGATGACTTTGAGGGGTTCAAGATTTCAGTGAAGGAAGTATCTGCAGATGTGGTGGAAATAGCAAGAGAATTAGAAGTGGAGCCTGAAGATGTGACTGAATTGCTGCAATCTCATGATAAAACTTTAATGGATGATGAGTTGCTTCTCAGGGATGAGCAAAGAAAGTGGTTTCTTGAGATGAAATCTACTCATGGTGCAGATGCTGTAAAGATTGCTGAAATGACAACAGAGGATATAGAATATTACATAAACTTGCTGGATAAAGCAGTGGCAGGGCTTGAGAGGACTGAGTCCAATTTTGAAAGAAGTTCTACTGTGGGTAAAATGCTATCAAACAGCATCGCAGGTACAGAGAAATCATTTGTGAAAGGAAGAGTCAGTCAATGCGGCAAACTTCATTGTCTTCTTTTAAGAAATTGCCACAGCCACCCCACCTTCAGCAACCACCATCCTGATCAGTCAGCAGCCATCAACATCGAGGCAAGATCCTCCACCAACAAAAAGATTACAACTGGCTGAAGGCTCACATGATGGTTAGCATTTTTTAGCAATAAAGTATTTTTTAATTAGGGTATGTACATTTTTTTTAGACAATGCATTTGCACACTTAACAGACTACAGCATAGTGTAAACACAACTTTTATATGCACTAGGAAACCAAAAAATTTGTGTTACTCGCTTTACCACAATATTCACTTTATTGCAGTGGTCTAGAATCAAACCTGCAATATCTCTGAGATATGCCTGTATATATATATGCGCGTTGTAGGTGTGTGATGTTTTTCTACTTCTGGATGGTATTACCAAAATTAATTTATAAAAAAAGCTTCATTTGATTGGTTTAAAGAAAAATAAGTGCTTATATGAATTGAGTATTCTTAAAATTCTAAGAAATATAATAGAAACTAACTCAAATGCTTTTCAGGTTCATCTGATCTGGGAAAATATTCAGTATTAAAGCTAATTTAAGTTGTTGGTTTATATAAAGACATGTCTATTTAGAGTTATCAACATTATAAATGTAATGCCAACATACAACTTTTATTCTACCTGGGTTTATAAGTCAAATAAGTTCATGTTATCCCTGTTATGAAATTTGTCATCAAGAAAAATAACCTGGTCTTTATAGTATGCCTACTTAAAAATAGTTTCCAAATCTTTTTGGTAACCTAAAACTTTAAAGTTTCGTTAAGTTAAATTAAATGATGGCTAGTCATTAAATATCTAGATTATTTCAAAATAAGATACTGAAACACTAAGTACTGAACATAAGTTTATCCACTTTTGGTTTCCTTTTACAGAGACACTAAAGATATTTGGGTCTATTAGTAAACATGTTTCGTGCCACACTGAAAAATTTACTAGAAGAAAGCACATTTCTAGAAATTATAAAAAGTACTTATAAATTTGCCAAGCCACAGAATGTTAACATAACAGTTCACAATTGTTTATCTCTTTATTTTCACTAGAAATTAAGCTTTTTAATAGTTAAAAACTTTAATATATATAAGCCACTAGAAATAATAAGGGAAACATCTCTGTACGCAAGAAAAGTAGGATGCATGTTTTCAGTAAAAGAAGGTACAAGGAATAGAGATGCATTTTGTTGAGGGAAAAGAAAATAATTTTGTCCTAAAATGAGGCTGGTTATGTCAGAATAGGAAAGAGAAAAAAAATAAGACCAAATTTGAATGAAAAAAGGGAAAGACGCTGGAGACCTCTGAATCAAATTGATGAGAAAGAGAAATAGCTGACATTGATGTAGACTGCTTCCACCCAAGATGCCAGATCAAGACTTCATACTTTAACTAAACATGAAACCCTTTCTTCTTCTCTTTCTTGCCTTTATTCTGGCATTGGCTTGGAGAGATAACATCATCATCCATATCTCCCTGGCCATTGCTAAAGGGGATAACCTTTTAGACTGCTGGATTTGCCATAAAAACCTCTGATCTGTCCATTAACAGTGCCACCTTAGCAGGAGTGGTTTGTCCCCCAACAGAATTTATCTTGATGTGTGGTAGTTATCATTCTCCCTGGGCCTGTGAACACCTAGATGGCTGGTGCATAACCGGGCAATGCCTTCTAGGTTACCTTATTGTGCCCCTAACACAGACTGAGACATCTCACTGGTCAACAACCCTGATTTCACACCATCAAGTTAGAAAGGACCTACCAGGAGGCTTTCATGATTTGGGATTTGCTTCCTTTGGCAGGTCTCTACTTCCCTAGCTAGGAATGAGAACAAATGAGGCTACGATTAGGAATCTCTCCTTACCTCTGGAAAATATTGCAGAATCTGTTGCAAAAAAGCGATAGCTGCCCAACAAAAATCCTTAGACTCTCTGGCCAAAGTTGTCCTTGATAATAGGATGGCCCTTGATTATCTTTTAGCTGACAAGGAGGTGTCTGTGCTGTGGCCAACACCATTTGCTGCACCTGGATTAATACTTCTGGGGAAGTTGCAACTCAGCTACATAATATCAATGAACAAGCCACCTGGCTTAAGAAAGTGACTCCTTCATTGGGGTCTTTCTTTGACTTATTTGATTCTGATTGGTTTGAATCTTGGGGACCATGGCTCCAAAGTACACTCCACACATTATCCTGCTTACAATAATCATAGTAGTCTATCTGCCACGCTGTATTTTCTCAAAAGCCTTAAATGCATGTTCGCAGCTGCTAAACACCAAGCAAATGATCTCCCTAAGATTGGAACACCAGAAAAGGAATGAAGAAAATGACTGATTAAAAAATTGTGAGCCTAGGGGCCAGCCCGGTGGCATAGCAGTTAAGTTTGTGCACTCTGCTTCGGCGGCCTGGGGTTCGCAGGTGCGGATCCTGGGTGCAGACTGACTCATCGCTTGTCAAGCCACGCTGTGGCGGTGTCCCATATAAAGTAGAGGAAGATGGGCACGGATGTTAGCCCAGGGCCAATCTTCCTCAGCGAAAAGAGGAGGATTGGCAACGGATGTTAGCTCAGAGCTAATCTTTCTCACCAAAAAAAAAATTGTGAGCCTAGGGCTGCCCTAGTGGTATAGTGGTTAAGTTCATGCACTCTGCTTTGGCAGCCCAGGGTTCATGGGTTTGGATCCTGGGCGTGGACCTACATACACTCATCAAGCCAGGCTGTGGTGGTGTCCCACATACAAAAAAATAGAGGAAGATTGGCACAGATGTTAGCTCAGGGCCAATCTTCCTCACCAAAAAAAAAAAAAAAAAAATTGTGGGCCTAAAGTTGTGACCTGTAAATATAATAGAGATTCAGAAAAAAAAAATCATGGCCTGTGAATATCACACAGAGGGTCAGTAAAAGATGCAAGAACTACAGAGCAGTAGCTGAGAGTGGTGCTAATGCCTTAAACTTTGATCACATTTCTCAGGTAGGCTGAGAGTCTGATCAAAAGAGGGGAATCATTAAAAAAGAAACAACAGGCCCAAAATGGATTAATTTGTGCTAAGCCCCACATCAGCAAACCAAGACTTAATACCTAACCTAACTGCAGTTTCAGCCTCTGCCAGAAATGTAATCAGTCAATCTGGAATTACTTGGTCAGCACTAGTAAGGTAATCTGCCTGCAAGACCCCCATCTTCTCCCACAGGAAGATGACCTAGCCTGAAACTTTCCACTCTTTGTTTGAATAACCTCCTTGCCCCGCCTCCTTCTGCCTACAGAAGTCTTCCATTTTGTACAGTTCCTTGGAGCTCCTTTCTACTTAGTAGATGGGATGCTGCCCAATTCATGAATCCTTTAATAAAGCCAATTAGATCTTTAAATTTACTCAGTTGAATTCTGTTTTTAACACAATATTCTAGGGCCTTTGCACTTCTGTATGAATTTTAGAATCAGTGCGTCAATTTCTTTTCAAAAGCCCGCTGGGATTTTGTAAATCTACAATCAATTTGGGGAGAATTGCCATTTTAACAATATTAAGTCTTCCAATTTACGAACACAGTAGATCTCTCCACTTAGTTACGCATTCTTTGATGTCTCTCAGCAATGCTTTGTTTTTTTCAACATACAGGTCTTGCACATCTTTGTCAGTTACATCCCTAAGTATTTCACAGTTTTTGATGCGATTACAAACGTCACTTTTTCATTTACATTGGTTGTTGCTGGTATACAGAAATGCAACTGATTTGTGTGTATTGATCTTGTATCCTGGAACCTTGCAAAACTCACTTAGTAGATCTAGTTGCCCTCTTGCAGATTTCTTGGGATTTTTCTACATAGATAATCATGTCATCTACAAATGAAAACAGTTTTACTTCATTTTTTCCAATCTGGATGCCTTTTGTTTGTTTCTTTCCTGATCATACTGGACAGAATCTCCATTATAATGCTCAATAGTGGTGAGACTGGACTTGCTTTGTTCCTGATCTTACGGAGAAACATTCACATTCAGTTTTTCACTATTAATTTTGACGTCAGCTGTAGGATTTCCTTAGATGTCCTTTTATCAGGACTGTATGTTGGATTTTGTCAAATGCTTTTTCTGCATCTATTGAGATGATCAGATTGCCTTTCTTTCCTGGTCTGGTAGCAAGATGAAACACATTGATTTTCAAATGTTAAACCAACCCTGCCTTCCTGGAATAACCTCCCTGGTCCTTTTTATAAACTGTTGGGCTCCGTTTGTTAAAAAATTGTTAAGAATTTCCTCATCTATGTTCATGAGAGATATTGTTTAGTAATTTTCTTTTCTTATGATATCTTTAACCTGGTATTGATACCAGGGTAATTCTACTGTTTGGTTTTTTTTTCAGCTTTCTGTCTCTCTAAGCTTCAGTCTGTATAGTTTCTATTGCTATGTATTCAATTTCACTGACTCTTCCATGTTATCTACTCTTAAGTTCACCTAGATATTTAAAGTTTTAGCTCTAGCATTTCTATTTTATTTATTTTTTTATATTTTATTTTTCTCCTCTTAATATTCATTTTTCTTTAAAATCTTGGATCATATCTATAAATAAATATTTTGAAGTTCGTTTCTGCTAATTCCATCATTACCATCATTTCCAGGTCTGTTTCAATTGTCTGATTTTTCTCCTGGTTATAGGTCACATTTTCTAAGCTTCTTCCCTCATCTAGCAATTTTTATCAGATACTAAACATGTTGTTGAGTGTCTAGATTGTGTTGCTGTTTTTAAAAGATTGCTTAGTTTTTCTCTGGCAGATAGTTGATTTGCAGAGCAGTGTGACCATTTCAAGCCTTGTTTTTAAGCTTTGTTAGGGTTGCCTTAGAGAAGCCTTTATTTTAGGGCTAATTTAATCTCTTCTGGCTCTTCTGGAATCTATATTGAATGCCTTGGGTATTAAGTTCTTTCCACTGTTTAGAATTCGAGTACTTCCCAACCCTGTGTGAGCACCTTCAGTGAGCAGCTCCTTGTTCTTTTCTAGGCCTCAAGGAGTCTCATCCTAGACTTGCACAGCTTAGTATTCAGCCAAAGACTCAAGAAACCCTTATGAAGATTTCTGGAGTTCTTTCTAGATGTAGCTATCACCTATGCATTACTCTGCCCCACAAATTCCAGGCACTTCTGTCTTGCCAAACTCTGATTTCTGTCTCCTCAGTTCAATGAAATTGCTGTGCTATACTTGGTTCCCCCACTCTTCACCTGGTCTGGTAAATGCCCCCAGGAAGAAAGCCAGGGAGACTATAGAGCTCATCTCATTTGTTTCCCTCCTTTCAGGGACTGGAATCCTTGCTGCCTTTTGTCTAATGTCTAGAAAAAGCTGTTTCAAATTTCCCCCCAAGTTATCTATTATTTATGGCTGAAGGGCTAGTCTGGTACAGTTATTCTGTCATGGCCCAGAGTATAAGTGTTTGCTTATATAATTTCTGTCATATCTTCTTCACTTATAATGATACGCAAATATTCCACTGTCTGGATATTCCAACATTATTTAACATTTCTCTATTGCTGGACCTCTAGGTTATTTAGTTATTTGCTATTATAAATAATGGTGCAATGAATATCTCTATAAAAACAAGCATTTGAGTATAATTTTATTTTATTTTATTTTTTTAAATGTTCATTTATTTATTTTTTTTTCCCAAAGCCCCAGTAGATAGTTGTATGTCATAGCCGCACATCCTCCTAGTTGCTGTACGTGGGACGCGGCCTCAGCATGGCCGGAGAAGCGGTGTGTCAGTGCATGCCCGGGATCCGAACCCGGGCCGCCAGCAGCAGAGCACGCGCACTTAACCACCAAGCCACGGGGCCGGCCCCTTGAGTATAATTTTAAAATTAAAAGGTAGACTACCTAAATGTTCATCAATAGGGAAATGGCTACACAAATTATTAAGTTCATTTAATAAATGGATAGCCATATGTTATGGATTAAATTGTGTCCCCCCACAAAAGATAGGTTAAAAGTCCTAACCCTCAGGATTTCACAATGTGACCTTATTTGAAAAAAGGGTTGTTGCTGATGTAATTAGTTAAGGTGAGGTCATTAGGGTGGGCCCTAATCCAATATGACTGGTGTCCTAATGAAAAGTGGAGATATGGACACAGAAACAGACACACACAGAAGATGATGTGAAGACACACAGGGAGAAGATGGCCATCTGACTAGAGTGATGCCTCTACAAGTCAAGGAATGCCATGAACTGGCAGCAAACACCAGAAGCTAGAAAAGGCAAAAAATGATTTTCCCCTAGAGCCACCAGAGAAAGCATGGCTCTAGTGACATCTTGATTTTAGACTTCTAGCCTTCAGAACTGACAGACAAAACATTCTTTTGGTATTAAGCCACCTATTTGCAGCACTTTGTTATGGTAGCCCTAGGAAACGAATATACCATACAATAAAGATTACGTGATTATTACAGATCATGTTGTCAAAAAATTGCTAAAACATGGAAAAATGCTCATTATAGTGTGAAATAGGTACTATTATTATTCCCGTTTAACAATGTGGAAACTGAAGCCCTGGGCTTAATAATTTTCTCAAGATGGCATGCATAGTAAGTGGTGGAATACGATTTGAATCCAAGCAGATTCCCGTGTGCTCTTAATCACTATGCAACACCATCTCTTAATTATTAAAAGCTGTAAGCAGCATTAAAACTTTTTAATGCAAACTGAGAAGTAAATGCCATTTAAATATAAACAAAATAAGCCAGGAGAGCACGAAAGTAGGAACCTGAACTTCCTGAATTGAGATAAAATATTCCAACATTCCCCCAATTACAGTGCATTTTAGAATAAATTCTTCAGGGTGGTCATTCCATAGAGTAAACTTGAAAGAACACAAACACCTAAAAGTATTCACAAAAATAAACAGTTATATGAAAATGCAGTATTACTTACTTATTATGTTTTATTTTCTCCTATGGAACTGTGAAAAGTCCATTCCTTGAGTAATGAGGAAAGAAGCCTAGATGTTAGAGGCTTGGTGTAA